CAATTCATAGACTTGTTTATCTTGCATATTATACATGTAAAATAAAAATAAAAAATAAAAAAATAAAATAAATAAAAATAGAAAATGACGAATAAATAGCACATTTTAATCTCATAAACTAGAGTTTTCAAAGTTACAATGCAACCACGTCAAAAACTTCAAATTCCAAATCGTCAGCATTTTCTGTCTCATTTGGTTTGTATAAATTCTTATAATTAAAAAAGTTTAACATTTCTTTGGTAGGCTCAACATTTTTGCAGCAAATGGAATTATTTGAAAATTGAGTATTTATTATCAAAAGAGCTGTTACATGTGGTTTTTATTTTAATTTAAAAAATCGTTGCCAACTGGTGTATAATATAAACCCGAGAAATACAACTCTAATGTAGGGCTCGTAGCATGGTAGAAGAATATAGGTAGATGCAACAACGCTTGGGAACACTAATATGTCTAAACGTTTAAAGTGTTTTGTCAAAAATATGTAGATATTTATATGTTTTCTTATGCAATGCAAATTGGATTTTTACAAATTTCAATATTTTTTTTATTTAAGATTTTCAATTCCAAAATCGGTTTGACAGTTCATTGTCCCAGCAGCTGTGTCGATGCGACTACATGTATTCTTCTACCATGGCTCGTAGGTACAATAAAGGTAATTTGATTAATTAGGAAAATTGCCATATAAAAGGCATAACAATGGAAAATTGAGGCAGTTTTGTTTAGTGTATTAACAAAGAAGATATTTTATTTGCGAATTAAAATATACATAAAAAATGTCCCAAAAATTAAATTAAAATAATTTAAGGACAATTTGTTTTTGTGTTTAATTTACACTTGTGTTTTATTGTTGTGTGAATGCAACGCCAACAACACCAACCGTTAAAACCATCTCTGACCCAAGCCAAGTAAACTGTAACGGCAGCAAATTTAGACCTGTCTCATGTGTCCGTCCAGCACCAACCACCATTGAAGTATCCATTGTGCCTAAGTCCGTGATGTCCAAAAATCTGGAATAATAAAACCAGTATAAGTAAATGCTGACAAGGTAACAATATTTAAAAGAAAAAATATCTACTTACCGGCCTTGAGCAACATTCTTTCGGAGGATCTAGGCCCAGAGCCTGAGTGCTAACTAACATCTAACAAGTTAAAAAGTAGTAAGTTCGGCCGGGCCGAACTTTGAATACCCTCCACCATTTGAAACGAATTTGGAGATAAAATCCTTACAAATATTGTTAACATTTTAAAAATACCGAATATAGCCGTTATATGGGTGTCTATACGACGTGGACCTACATGGGCAATGTTTGTCATAAGTCATTACCATATTCAAATTCGAAACTTGAAATAAACGGTGAATAATGTAGCAAAAACCATTCTGCCATAGGCTGTAGCATTCATTACGAACTTCAAATACGCGTTTCAAACAATTTCGGTGGGTATTGTACCTAAACTCGTCAAAAAACCGAATATAGGGAGGTACTGGTATGTGGGGCTTAGACGAAGACCTGGGCCTGCATACACAATTTTCTGTCACAGACTGTACTTCCCATTACGAACTCTAAATACGTAATTTGAAACAATTCCGGTGAATAATGACGCTTAAGTCATCAAAATACCGAATATAGGGAGGTACCGTTATAAGGGGGCTATACGAAGACGTGGACCTGCACAGACAGTTTTCTCTCTTAGGCTGTAGTATCCATTTCGAACTTCGAATTCCAAATTTGAAACAAATCCGGTTAATAATGTCGCTAAAATCATCAAAATACCGAATATCGGGAGGTACCGTTATATGGGGGCTATGAGAAAACCTACATGCCCCATTTACTAACTTAACCTGCCTATTGGAAAAATAAACATGTGTGCAAAATTTTAGCCTTCTATCTCAATTCGTTCGAAAGATAGCGTGATTACAACAGACAGTCAGAACGACATGGCTAAATCGACTTAAAATTTTACGCTGATCAAGAATATATATACTTTGTTGGGTCTGACATGAGTATTTCGAGGAGTTACAAAGGGAATGACAAAGTTAATATACCCTCCATAGTATGGTGGAGGGTATAAAAAGGAGAAATACAAATGAAAGATTAGTTTATATGTTAAAAAAAAAAACTTAAAATATAACACCGAACTCATAAATTAGGAATTGATCTGCTAAAACATTTATTTGTTAGTTTAAGTATATGTTAGTAGTTAGTGATTAGTATATAAGATTTTATTTGTGATTGTAAAAGTTTTTAACGCTAGATAGAATGCGACAAGTGTAGGGTTACCCCAGAAAATCCTATTAGAAATTAGTTTATTGTGGGACCAAATGTTAATGTTCCCTAGAACCACATAAGAGAGCTCATTTAAGTGAGGAGATAATTTAGAAAAGCGGCCCGAGTTCACCAGAATCCAATAGGATAAGGTGGTAGCGCGAGGTATTGACTTATCGATGTGTCAGGTGTTAGAAATTAAAGGGCTGCAAATGTGACAATTTTCTCTATTTGATCAAACGCATAACAGTACATGACATCCAACCCAAATGCTCGATGTCTCGTCATGTCGGTCACACTCAAACCCATCGTCATAACATGTAATGACCAATAAAAGGAAATGTTGAATAGTGTGTCATACAAAAATGTTCTATCAAAAATCAACAACAAGTATGAAACAATTGCCAACGGAAAAGACACACACGTGATGAAGGCAAAGCGCAATCGCTACCTGCTTTTCCGATATGTTAAAAAATTAATTTTTTGTAATAAAGAATTTCTTGGCGAAAACTAATATATTAAAGGTACTTCTAGTTGGTCCACATATAATTTTCACATTTCGTGGTTATTGACGAAACAATCAAAAATGCTAATACTTATTAATAAACAATAATCCCCTGAAAATTTTTCCTATTTTGATTATAATGAAATTAATGTTGTAAATGTTTGCCTCCGATAGGGAGTTGTAAATGAGAATGAGTGCTACTGTAATTCACGTAACAACACTCTATACTTCCATTGTTCAATTCTGTGCATATTCTGTTATTGAATGAGAGTCAAATCTCTGCCCACAAACTTTAATTTTAAAAGAACACTATATGTAGATAGAAAATAGGCAAACAATATTTACCTCTAGTTTATGACCAAAATTTTATGATAATCACCAATAAATTGTTTTGATCAGTATATATTTCATTTTTTCTATTCACTTGTTGATATTTATGCATATTTTGTTATTGAAATCCAATTCATGCTTACGCGGAGTTTGTTACTTCAAAATTACAGCACACACAAAAACACACCCTTACCGTTGAAAGTAACACAAACACACTCTCTCAATTTAAGCACACGTACACAAATGACACACAATTTGACGATGACACGGTTCGATGTCATCGTTCACACCCTGCATTTATGGAGAACACCATGCAAATATTCGAGTCAGCCATGCCACGATCGAACCTTAGACAATGGCACACTTGAATCAAAATGGGGGATGTTGTTGGTTGTCATTGCTTATCAAATACATAGCGCATGATTGAGTAGACAAAGTTAGTGTGTCGAAAAAAGCATAATTCATACAATTCGTCTTGAGCAGGCCTTTAGTAAGCAACAGAGCTTCCAACAAATCACACTGCATTTTATTTCTAAGTTTGGTTTTCACTGAGTCCGTAACTGAAAAATTCGTTCTACACATGCATTGCTGGTTGCCACCTTCTATGTAAAACAATCATGCAATTTTTAGCACTTTCAATACAAATATCAATGTAACTGTTCTACAAATATACATTTTTTGACATCTCTGCAACCGAGTGTATGTGTCATGGTCGAAAAATACAGGTAGATGCATCAACGTTTGGGAACATTGATATGTCAAAAAACTTTAAATGTGTTTTCAAATATAAGTAGAATAATAAATGTTTTCTTATACCACGTTATTCGGAGGTCATTATAATTAGCGTTTTTCAACAATTTTTACAAATTTAAAAAATTTTTTATTCAACATTTTCAATTCCAAAATTGTTTTGACAGTTCATTGTCCCAGTAGCTGTGTCGATGCGTCTACCTATATTCTTCTACCATGGTATGTGTTATAGGCAAACACAGATTATGGTAAGAGATAACTAGATATAAATGTGTAACATAAATGTAATTATCAAAATAAGTAAGGTAGTTAGAATTTTTATTGAAAAAAACCTCACAAATTCCGCAATTTTGTAAAAAGATCCCGACTAAATCCTTAAGTCCCAACTTGAATTTTTCGTCCCCCAATTTAAAAAAATATCCCCTTTATGGGGAAAATTCCTCAATACTGGCAACACTGTTCGGATGTACAAATCAATTTTAGGTAACACTTTTAGGTGGGCCTTATCCATGGCCATATCATATGCAACTCTACGCTAAGTAATGCTAGGAACACAATTGGAGCGAACGACGAATTTTTTCGCGGCGTATGTTCGTCGTCAAAAATAAAACACATATGTGTATATGGAAGTGCACACAATCACGGCACCGGCGAAAATTTCGTCGGTCGCCGCGAACTCAATTAGCTTTATTTCTATTTCATACGCCGGCGACCGTCGAACAAAACAGTACAAGGTGGCCATACTTGTACGAATTTTATGTGTTTTACTAAATAAAGTTACTTTTTACTTTAAAATGTGTTATGGTCACTCTACTATCTGTTACTCGTATAAAAAAAAACATAATTAATTTGTTTATTTATTTGTGTACTTGCGCCTGAGTGAAGATGGATATCAGTGAATTTATAATAGAGAAGATGGACATAAGTGAAATTATAATAGAGAACGTAAAGAATTATGTGTTCTTGTATAATTCATTGTAGTCAACAAATGAGCAAAAAGTAAACAACTTCATCAGCTGTTTTATAATTTCGTCGGTATTGTGTTCCATACGACGAATTTTCGCGGCTCATTTTGTCGCCGCGTAGGGCGAAATTCGTCGTTCGCTCCAATTGTGTTCCTAGCATAATTTTGTTGACAATTTCTAAACTATCAACAATATAAACGTATAATCTTTTAGAGTCAATTAACTTTAGGTTGGGAAGTTTTTAATGAAATGTCCATTTACGTCATCTGCTTAACGACCAATGGGGGGTTGCCAATTCTTACTCGTAAAAAAGGAGATTGTGAAAATGTAAACAAGTTTTTGTGTGGTGTTCACCTTAAAAAATGATTTATTTATTTAAACTTTCAGCTACCATTCTCTACTATGGCTTCTTTAAATTGATTTCATATGTTCTTTAAATCATTAGGCATTCGTTTAAACAGGACGTACGCCGAGAACTGGAAATATATTTGGAAAGATTTTGACAACTCTATTACAATAATCATTTGCTCAGTAGCAGAGGGCTGCAACGAGTATGCAAAAATTCAAGCATACTCGGTTTCTTACATGATTTTTGTTGATGCAGTCGTTTAGCTTGATGCGAATGAAATGACCGTTTTCGCTTGGATCGAATCGAACTCTCAGTTTGAATCACTTCACTCACAATCAAACATGAGCGTTCGAGACGGTTTGATATGTTCAGCAACATGAGTTGATCGAACACATGAATGTAAATGAGCAATCACAACCGTGATTGTCTTCTTTGAATCGAGTTCGCTCAGCGTCATTGTTTATTCAACCATTTAAACAAGTTGGGACAGTTTATTTTGACTTTGTTAATATTTGAAATGGAAGAATATTGTGATAGTGCGACCGATTTTGTTGTAAGTAGAAACTACACAGGTGTAGGTAAACAAAAAGGTCAAAGTTTGTGAAAAATCTTGACCAATATTGTAAATTAAAACAAAAAATTTAAATATTTTTAGTTTTCTAAACACCAATGATGTGTTTCTTTATTAAAAAATTTAATTTTGTTTTTTTTTTTTCAAATAAGTTACTGAAGTCTAGCATACCAAAAACCCATATAAAATGAAAAATTGTATGCTTATTAAAAATAATTTGTACCAATCTTTTTAATGGGGACATCTTTTAGTTATGAAATCCTTAGTAAAATTACAATCATGATTTCGCTCAAATTCGAACATTTGCGTTTTAATCAAATCAAATCACTCACTTAACTAGGATAAATACAACCGATCAGACTCACCATAGATGATCGACCCGTTATGAACAATTCAACATAAGTTCGTAAACAAATAACTCATGTGAGCTGTTTGATTGCGATCACAAAACTTCGATCAATACATGTTTGATCACAATTTTTTCGTTTGGCTTGAGTAACTCGAATGAACATGTTGCATCTGACCGACTGATTGAGTTTGATTGTATTTCCACTGTGTGTGATCAAGCCTACTCAATCATACTCATTGCAGCCCTCTGCTCAGTAGGTATTGAGGACTACGTTCTTGATCTATTACCGGAAATAGTATATGCAGCGTTTAGTTTATTTATAAGCCGGGATGAAATGACACATCCTACATTTGCGGAGCGCTTAAAAAAAGAATCTAAGCACTATCTTCCGATATTAGATGCTATTTTAGAGGCCGGTATAAGTCAATTCCTTGGGTTCTCCAGTTGTCTTCTTTCCACTGACAATACACATATAGTGCAGCGTTTAAACAACGACTTCAGCTCTCAATGTGGTTCTTTATTCTGTTGTTTGCTTGTGGGACAACGAATAGCTGCAGGTACAGAGGGTTGGTGGGATTTAAATATCGTGGATAGGCGTGCAAACATCGTGTTCGCTGCAAAATGATATTGCAGTTTATTTGCCGAAGAAAAGTCCAAACGTAAGATATAACACTTTTACTTAAGTTAATCTGTCTGTTGAAAATGTTATCGGAAAGAATATTATAGATTAAGTTAATATACCAATCAGTTAGCTTTCCCTAAGTCATATTGTTCAGTTATAACCAACCAAATTGGAGATGTGTATTATGTTGATTTTGTGCGCTCTGCTCGGATAGGTATCAAAAAAAGATATTTGGAGACATGGATTGACCTACAATGTTAAATTAATTCTTTTTGTGGATAAATAACCAGTTAATCGTCTATTAGACCCGAATACAAGATATTCTAAGATATAAGTCATAAAAATCATGATATTAGCATTTTCTACTCTGATTTAATAATATATGTTACAGCTAACTATAGGACCTAAATTACTATTAGAAGATATTAAATTGTTTGAAAAAATATGCGGTGGGGAGCCAAAACAAATAGGATAATAAAGATGAAATAAAGAGTACAATATAATAAATTTGCGATATAATATTAAATTTCATGTTTAATACAAAATAACTTAAAATACTAGATAACACAGCTGATCGTAAAAAATATTAATGAGATCATACATACAATCAGTGTAATAGTAAAAATCCTGCTACATAGACGAAATCTCGGATTGTTGCAATAAGGAGCAGCAAAAATCAATGTCTCTTTTCGTCCTGAAACCATTGCGATTTGTAATTTCCGCTTAAACTTTGTCTCCATTTAAAATTTTGAAATTAAGTTCAGCCGCAAATTGAACTGAGTTTCGAAGCCGCAGTCTTACAGTGATCGTTAAGATATATACGACTAGAAACATCACTACCAGGACCATCCTTTATAAAATCACATACACGGGTTCTAAAGTATTGCTTCATAATGTCATCTCGAATACCCACATTATCTAGTTTGACTAAAATCCGCTTCCTATTGTGGATATAGCAGATATGATTGACATCACTTTTATTCAAACTGACTTTAAAGAAATCGGCAATTGATAAGCCACCAATAATGAAGTCAGCACGGTTTAAGCGACGATGAAGAATGTTATTCTCAGCTTCCAAAAGATTCATCTTGGACGATACTGACTCTCCAACATGGTTAATGCGGTCATTACATTGGCAATATCAGACTTGATTACAGACAGACCCGAACTCAGTTCAACCTTCATATTGTCAATGGCATCTTTAATGCCATTCAACTCGGTTTGATGAACACCAACAAAAGTATCAATCTGCCTCTTGAGATCTCGAATGTCGTCAACCACAACACTATTTCCCCGTACATTATTAAGGTTTTGGTCACATGCCGCACAAATAAATGAACTCACACCAATTGACTTCAGTGTTGAAAGATCTTGAGGTGAGAGTTTGGCACATGCTAAATGAATCCATTTGCAGCAAATTCTGCATTCAATGCTTCCACAGGTTTAAGGAATGCCTTTAGAATACAGTCCACATGTAACAATGTTTTTTAGTCTTATTTGCAGACATATCGGCAAGCAGCAACAGCAAAACAAATGCAGCAACAACAAGAACCAATGGCTCCAAAGCAAGGCAATAAAGTTTATTAAGATTTCACCGATATCAAAGAGTTCCCGAAAAAATTTAAATTTGTTTAAAGTCGAAAGTAACTTTTTGACTTATTACAAGCAAAGAAGAAGCAAAAAAAATAGTTGGAATCTTAATTATTTAGCTCACGATCAGCTGCGATTAAACCCCGCGTTTACTCAGACATGGGGTTGCGCACTCAGACACACAGACGTTTACACATCACACTCTGCAAAATTGCATGCAGGGCTCCACTTTCAATTAAAGTATTTTTCACAAATTTTATTGACAATTTCAATTCTTTATAAATGCAAATAAACAAAACTGTTCTTGTTGTGACAGTTTATATGGATTGTAAAGTAACCTCATTTCAAAATAGCATTCCCAGCTCTACATTTTCTGTAATTCACTTGTCAAATTTTAATGCATAAAAACAGTTCCAATCTCTGATATTGTGTGCATACAATGGATTTATGAATATTGATTTTGAAAATGAGATGTTGTCAACTGTATAAATTTGAACAAATGTTCAACATATCATCGCATTACTTTACCTTCTTAGTTCTACCATAACGATTTTTTTCAATTTTTGCCTATGGCCATATTTATTTGGATAATAAACTTACGTACTAACAGAAATGGCTTACAGTACTTAAGACTTAACTATGTATAGCTATTCGCTATCTACTACATAATACAAAGTAATTCGCTATGCTCCAGGCACTTAGCATCCATCAACATAAATGAACTAAAATAAACTGAAACTTAACATAAATGCCCCAAAAACAAAAATGGGCGAACTCTACTAAGTTATATAATATCTTAAAACTATGATTTAAAATCTAATACTACGAACTAAGAACTAATTCTACTATGTACAATATTTACAAATTTTATAATTGGCCTTGAAATAATTTCAAATTATTTTATTTTTTATTCACAACATATACAAACTGTGTATATGTTTTGACAGAATGAAGCACCAAAAGAAAAAATGTATTAAGGGGGTAGGTTTGTTCTACCTTATGTAATTGTTCCATGGGTAGATCCATGGTAGAAGAATACAGGTAGATGTATCAACGCTTGGGAACATTGATGTGTCAAAATTTACAATGTTTTTTTCAAATATAAGTAGATTTTTATATGATTTCTTATACGACCTAAATCGAAAGAAACTATAATATATGTTTTTCAAAATGATTTACAAATTTGAATGATTTTTCATTTAAATTGACGGATTGAATTGGCAGTTCATTGTCCCATCAGCTGTGTCGATGCGTCTACCTATATTCTTCTATCATGGGTAGATCCACAATAAAAAGGTAAGGTTGAGCTTCCAGCTGATCACATTTATTTAAGTGTGCCCGACTTCTGACAATTTTGTGTATGCATTTATTGGTTTAAAAAAAGAAAAATATTTTCAAAATCAATGATTGGAAGAAAGTAACATTGCAGCGTGCACAGGTAATAACCATTTTTGCCACGGAATTGAAAGATTTATCAAGTGGGATAATATTTTTGAAAGAAAATCCAGGCATTTCATTCAACTTTCACGCTTTTTAATCAATATTCGAAATGCGGAAAATGTTAATTAAATTGTTGCCGGTCAGAAACAAATGAACCGGATATGTTAAGCTCGGTACAGCGGTTAAAGAAATCAGCGTTGCCAACTTGTGTATAATATAAACCCGAGAAATACAAATCTAATGTTGGGCTCGTAGCATGGTAGAAGAATATAGGTAGATGCAACAACGCTTGGGAACATTAATATGTCAAAACGTTTAAAGTGTTTTGTCAAATATATGTAGATATTTATATGTTTTCTTATACAATGCAAATCGGATTTTTACAAATTTCAATATTTTTTCATTTAAGATTTCAATTCCAAAATCGGTTTGACAGTTCATTGTCCCAGCAGCTGTGTCGATGCGACTACCTGTATTCTTCTACCATGGCTCGTAGGTACATTAAAGGTAATTTGATTAATTAGGAAAACAAAGAAGACATTTTATTTGCGAATTAAAATATACTTAAAAAATGTCCCAAAAATTAAATTAAAATAATTTTAGGACAATTTGTTTTTGTGTTTAATTAACACTTGTGTTTTATTGTTGTGTGTGAATGCGTTTGTGCGAACAAATTAATGCAACGCCAACAACACCAACCGTTAAAACCATCTCTGACCCAAGCCAAGTAAACTGGAACGGCAGCAAATTTAGACCTGTCTCATGTGTCCGTCCAGCACCAACCACCATTGAAGTATCCATTGTGCCTAAGTCCGTGATGTCCAAAAACCTGGAATAATAAAACCAGTATAAGTATATGCTGACAAGGTAACAATATTTAAAAGAAAAAATATCTACTTACCGGCCTTGAGCAACATTCTTTCGGAGGATCTAGGCCCAGAGCCTGAGTGCTAACATCTAACAAGTTAAAAAGCAGTAAGTTCGGCCGGGCCGAACTTTGAATACCCTCAACCATTTGAAACGAATTTGGAGATAAAATCTTTAAAAATATTGTTAACGTTTTAAAAATACCGAATATAGCCGTTATATTGGTGTCTATACGACGTGGACCTACATGGGCAATGTTTGTCATAAGTCATTACCATATTCAAATTCGAAACTTGAAATATAGGGAGGTACTGGTATATGGGGCTTAGACGAAGACCTGGACCTGCATACACAATTTTCTATCACAGACTGTAGTTCCCATTACGAAATCTAAATACGTAATTTGAAACAATTCCGGTGAATAATGACGCTTAAGTCATCAAAATACCAAATATAGGGAGGTACCGTTATATGGGGGCTATACGAAGACGTGGACCTGCACAGACAGTTTTCTTTCTTAGGCTGTAGTATCCATTTCGAACTTCGAATTCCAAATTTGAAACAAATCCGGTTAATAATGTCGCTAAAATCATCAAAATACCGAATATCGGGATGTACCGTTATATGGGGGCTATGAGAAAACCTACATGCCCCATTTACTAACTTAACCTGCCTACTGGAAAAATAAACATGTGTGCAAAATTTTAGCCTTCTATCTCAATTCGTTCGAAAGATAGCGTGATTACAACAGACAGACAGAACGACATGGCTAAATCGACTTAAAATTTTACGCTGATCAAGAATATATATACTTTGTTGGGTCTAACAAAGGGAATGACAAAGTTAATATGCCCTCCATAGTATGGTGGAGGGTATAAAAAGGAGAAATACAAATGAAAGATTAGATTATATGTTAAAAAAAACTTAAAATATAACACCGAACTCATAAATTAGGAATTGATATGCTAAAACATTTATTTGTTAGTTTAAGTATATGTTAGTAGTTAGTGATTAGTATATAAGATTTTATTTGTGATTGTAAAAGTTTTTAACGCTAGATAGAACGCGACAAGTGTAGAGTTACCCCAGAAAATCCTATTAGAAATTAGTTTATTGTGGGACCAAATGTTAATGTTCCCTAGAACCACATAAGAGAGCTCATTTAAGTGAGGAGATAATTTAGAAAAGCGGCCCGAGTTCACCAGAATCCAATAGGATAAGGTGGTAGCGCGAGGTATTGACTTATCGATGTGTCAGGTGTTAGAAATTAAAGGGCTGCAAATGTGACAATTTTCTCTATTTGATCAAACGCATAACAGTACATGACATCCAACCCAAATGCTCGATGTCTCGTCATGTCGGTCACACTCAAATCCATCGTCATAACATGTAATGACCAATAAAAGGAAATGTTGAATAGTGTGTCATACAAAAATGTTCTATCAAAAATCAACAACAAGTATGAAACAATTGCCAACGGAAAAGACACACACGTGATGAAGGCAAAGCGCAATCGCTACCTGCTTTTCCGATATGTTAAAAAATTAATTTTTTGTAATAAAGAATTTCTTGGCGAAAACTAATATATTAAAGGTACTTCTAGTTGGTCCACATATAATTTTCACATTTCGTGGTTATTGACGAAACAATCAAAAATGCTAATACTTATTAATAAACAATAATCCCCTGAAAATTTTTCCTATTTTGATTATAATGAAATTAATGTTGTAAATGTTTGCCTCCGATAGGGAGGTGTAAATGAGAATGAGTGCTACTGTAATTCACGTAACAACACTCTATACTTCCATTGTTCAATTCTGTGCATATTCTGTTATTGAATGAGAGTCAAATCTCTGCCCACAAACTTTAATTTTAAAAGAACACTATATATAGATAGAAAATAGGCAAACAATATTTACCTCTATTTTATGACCAAAATTTTATGATAATCACCAATAAATTGTTTTGATCAGTATATATTTCATTTTTTCTATTCACTTGTTGATGTTTATGCATATTTTGTTATTGAAATCCAATTCATGCTTACGCGGAGTTTGTTACTTCAAAATTACAGCACACACAAAAACACACCCTTACCGTTGAAAGTAACACAAACACACTCTCTCAATTTAAGCACACGTACACAAATGACACACAATTTGACGATGACACGGTTCGATGTCATCGTTCACACCCTGCATTTATGGAGAACACCATGCAAATATTCGAGTCAACCATCCCACGATCGAACCTTGGTTGTCATTGCTTATCAAATACATAGCGCATGATTGAGTAGACAAAGTTAGTGTGTCGAAAAAAGCATAATTCATACAATTCGTCTTGAGCAGGCCTTTAGTAAGCAACAGAGCCTCCAACAAATCATACTGCATTTTATTTCTAAGTTTGGTTTTCACTGAGTCCGTAACTGAAAAATTCGTTCTACACATGCATTGCTAGTTTGTACCTTCTATGTAAAACAATCATGCAATTTTTAGCACTTTCAATACAAATATCAATGTAACTGTTCTACAAATATACATTTTTTGACATCTCTGCAACCGAGACTGTTTTTCCAAAGTGTATGTGTCATGGTAGAAAAATACAGGTAGATGCATCAACGTTTGGGAACATTGATATGTCAAAAAACTTTAAATGTGTTTTCAAATATAAGTAGATTCTTAAATGTTTTCTTATACCACGTTATTCGGAGGTCATTATAATTAGCGTTTTTCAACAATTTTTACAAATTTAAAAAATTTTTTATTCAACATTTTCAATTCCAAAATTGTTTTGACAGTTCATTGTCCCAGTAGCTGTGTCGATGCGTCAAACACAGGCAAACACAGATTATGGTAAGAGATAACTAGATATAAATGTGTAACATAAATGTAATTATCAAAATAAGTAAGGTAGTTAGAATTTTTATTGAAAAAAACCTCACAAATTCCGCAATTTTGTAAAAAGATCCCGACTAAATCCTTAAGTCCCAACTTGAATTTTTCGTCCCCCAATTTAAAAAAATATCCCCTTTATGGGGAGAATTCCTCAATACTGGCAACACTGTTCGGATGTACAAATCAATTTTAGGTAACACTTTTAGGTGGGCCTTATCCATGGCCATATCATATGCAACTCTACGCTAAGTAATTTTGTTGACAATTTCTAAACTATCAACAATATAAACGTATAATCTTTTAGAGTCAATTAACTTTAGGTTGGGAAGTTTTTAAAGAAATGTCCATTTACGTCATCTGCTTAACGACCAATGGGGGGTTGCCAATTCTTACTCGTAAAAAAGGAGATTGTGAAAATGTAAAGTAAACAAGTTTTTGTATGGTGTTCACCTTAAAAAATGATTTATTTATTTAAACTTTCAGCTACCATTCTCTACTATGGCTTCTTTAAATGGATTTCATATGTTCTTTAAATCATTAGGCATTCGATTAAACAGGACGTACGCCGAGAACTGGAAATATATTTGGAAAGATTTTGACAACTCTATTACAATAATAATTTGCTCAGTAGGTATTGAGGACTACGTTCTTGATCTATTACCGGAAATGGTATATGGAGCGTTTAGTTTATTTATAAGCCGGGATGAAATGACACATCCTACATTTGCAGAGCGCTTAAAAAAAGAATCCAAGCACTATCTTCCGATATTAGATGCTATTTTAGAGGCCGGTATAAGTCAATTCCTTGGGTTCTCCAGTTGTCTTCTTTCCACTGACAATACACATATAGTGCAGCGTTTAAACAACGACTTCAGCTCTCAATGTGGTTCTTTATTCTGTTGTTTGCTTGTGGGACAACGAATAGCTGCAGGTACAGAGGGTTGGTGGGATTTAAATATCGTGGATAGGCAATTGTTGCTGCTACTCTTGCAAACATCGTGTTCGCTGCAAAATGATATTGCAGTTTATTTGCCGAAGAAAAGTCCAAACGTAAGATATAACATTTTTACTTAAGTTAATCTGTCTGTTGAAAATGTTATCGGAAAGAATATTATAGATTAAGTTAATATACCAATCAGTTAGCTTTCCCTAAGTCATATTGTTCAGCTATAACCAACCAAATTGGAGATGTGTATTATGTTGATTTTGTGCGCTCTGCTCGGATAGGTATCAAAAAAAGATATTTGGAGACATGGATTGACCTGAAATGTTAAATTAATTCTTTTTGTGGAGAAATAACCGGTTAATCGTCTATTAGACCCGAATACAAGATATTCTAAGATATAAGTCATAGAAATCATGATATTAGGATTTTCTCCTCTGATTTGTGGCTAAATTAAAAGCTTTTAATAGTATCCGGCTTTCGGTCACGATTCGGATTCTCTCCTCTGCAGTATGTCCAACTACGCCACGGCGGCCGGTTCTATGTACCGGATTGACTCGGAGGCACATTTCTCCGACCAGGGGCCGCCAACCCAGCAAATACATGTTCGTGTTCGTCCATTTTTCTGATGTGGGAGCAACATTACCCGGAATGTTTGCTCTGTATTCTCTTGGTCCGAGCCGGGATCGAGACCAACCCCGGACCATGGTTCTGCTCCGTTTGTCGTAATCGCATCCACCACAGATCGGTTTCGGTGAGATGCAACGGATGCATGGAGTGGGTGCATTTCCGGAATTGTTCCGGCCTAAACCGGATACAGGAGTATAGCGATAGGGACTACATTGCTTCCTGCTGCGTCAATGTTATATGCCTAATATCAGTTCACTACTGGTAGGCAATAACCGTCTGGTGCTAGGGGATTTCAATGCCCATCATGAGTTATGGCATTCCGTTCCCCCACGTTATATGCCTAATATCAGTTCACTACTGGTAGGCAATAACCGTCCGGTACTAAGGGATTTCAATGCCCATCATGAGTTATGGCATTCCGTCCTAGGTTATGACCAGAGAGGCATGGCGCTGGCTGAGCAAATTGATAGCTCCATGTTTTGCACAGTGAATGAGGACGCGTCCACCAGAATAAGGGGATACTACCACAGTTCTCCGGACATATCCATCGTGTCCCCAGGTCTGACGAATGACGTAACTTGGCAATCAGTTATTTCTCTAGGCTCAGACCACGTCCCCATTATTATCGCCATCAACAGACCACCCGACTTCTGTTGAATCTGAACGCCGCACTCTTCTTAACCACGGGAAAGCCAATTGGCAAGAATTCAGAGAGTATACCAATCGCCCTTCAGAGAACTGCCCAACCCATCTGATGGTCAGGTAGCAGATAGGTGTTTCCGGGACATCATCAAAGCTGCAGCCGCTCGCTATATACCTGCTGGTCGAATAACTGAAATAAGACCAAATTTCCCAGCAGAGGCAGCGGGATTAGCAAACGAGCGAGATGAGCTTCGCCGTACTAACCCTATTAACCCCAGAGTCAGGGAACTTACTCTGGAGGTAAACAGGTTAGTAGGTGAGCATAAGCGGAAAAAGTGGTTAGAACATCTGAAGCATTGCAACATCGGTACCGGAACGAGTAAATTGTGGGCAACGGTTAAGTCGCTCTCGAACCCTGGGAAAAAGGACGATCGGACATCTGTCTCATTCAACGGCGTAGAAGTGACAGATCCGAAGAGGTGCGCGCGTTATTTTAACCGGCAGTTTGTAGAGCACCCCGAGAGTGACAGGGCGAAGAGAAGGAAGGTACTATCCCTTCCAGCCGAGGAGGTACCACCACAATTTACGTTGGCAGATGTTGCACAGGTCATCAGAAGCGCAAAGTCATCCAAAGCGCTTGGTCCTGACGGAATCTCAATGGTGATGTTGAAGCAACTGGATGAACCAGGAGTTGAGTATCTTACAAAGCTGTCGTTAGCCTAGTAGTTCCCGATGCCTGGAAAATGGGCAGGGTGGTCCCGCTACTGAAGCCAGGAAAGGATGCCAGCTAAAGTGATTCATACAGGCCGATATCGCTTTTGTCACCAGTAGCAAAGACGCTTGAGGCTTTACTCCTCCCCAGCATAAGAGAGTGTTTCCCAGTAGCCGATCATAAACACGGATTCCGAAAATTGCATAGCACAACAACAGCTTTACACGCCATTTCCACACATGTCAGCAGAGGTCTCAACCAGAACAGGCCGTGCGATAGAACAGTTATGGTGGCACTTGATTTATCAAAAGCCTTTGATACAGTCAATCATGCCACACTGTTCGAGAACATTGAGCGCACCACCCTCCGGCCAAGTTTGAAACGTTGGATAGTAAACTACATGTGTGGACGCCAGTCGTACGTGGAATTCAGAAACAAGAAGTCGAGTCACCGTAGTCATCCGTAGAGTTAAACAGGAAGTTCCCGAAGGTGGGGTGATATCTCCGGAACTGTTTAACCTTTACCTTTCTGACATTCCACGCCCTCCAGACGGCACAGAGACTATAACGTACGCAGATGATTGTACGCTCGTGGCGTCCGGAACCATTATTGATGACATTTGCGATCGGTTAAACGCTTACCTTGTTGGTCTTACCGCCTTTTTCACTGCGAGGAATATGAAGATATCCGCCACTAAGTCGACGGTCACACTTTTCACCACATGGACTGCGGAGATTGGGCTATCCTTGAATGTGCAGGTCGATGGTGCTATTATTCCGACCACCAACTACGCCAAGGTATTAGAGGTCACATTCGATAGCCTCTTTAAGTCGTCCGCGCATACCACAGCTATCTGCGACAAGATTAGAAGTAGGAACAAGGTCCTCAAGTCTCTGGCCGGCAGTACTTGGGGAGCTGATAAGGAAACCTTGTTGACCTTGTTGACTATGCGGCTCCGGTGTGGTCCGCCTACGTCATTGCTACGCAGTGGAAAAATGTTCAGTCCTGCCAGAATGCCGCCCTTAGAACCGCAACAGGGTGCCTTCTCATGACACCTGTCGATCACCTACATGAGGAGGCGAAGGTCTTACCGGTGCGACAGCATAACAAAATGCTGTCAATGCAATACCTGCTTGGGTGTTATAGACAAGGCCATCCAAATAACCATCTTGTGGATAGGCAAGAGAGCCTCTAGATCAGCAGGCCTATCAAGCGGGACTGAATAGTATTCACTCTAATGCGGTCTTAGAAGCCATTGAAGGATATAGAGTGAATACTGTGCTAGGAGACCATCCCCCTCCCGTCGCAGCTGAAGAACGAGAGCTGCCCCGACAAACCCGAGTAGTTTTGGCTCAATTACGATCCGGATGGTGCAGCCGCCTAAATTCCTACTGGGCCCGGATTAAAGGCGACGTGCAGAACATCTGTCCAGCATGTGGCACAGGCCCACATGACACGCTACACCTATTTCGCTGCCCAGCCAAGCCTACTCACCTAACTCCAGTCTCGTTATGGACACAACCCATACAAGTTGCATCCTTTTTGAGACTGACCTCGAGGCGGAACCTGAATGAACTGTGTCAGAAAATGGAAACCGAACGAACACAGATGTATGAGCTGCTACAACAACAACAACAACTCTTTCTCTAAGTTTAATAGTTTCTTAAATAACTACTGTATTTACATATAAAATTTTTATTTATGAAAAATTTACATACATTATTCCAAAACCATGGTACAATGTAGATAAGGTAGAGAAATAGGCCTACCTGTGTGGATTATAATGTCAGAATTACTATGAACACATTAATTTTGAATTGAATGGAAGGTCAAGATTTCTATTCAAAACCATGTTCAAAACGGTAAATTTTGTCCATACAATAAATAAGCATTTTGGATGGTAACATGCCCTATTATAAGTTGGACCGGAAAGTCTAAATTTTTTGTTTGCTTTTTCATTCCATGTTTTGTAAGCAACCCCATCAGACCAGGGAAAGTTACACGACACAACTTAACTTAAATTCTAACAAATATCACAAAAAATTGAATTTTTCTGTAGTAAAACCAATTGGCCAACAACATAAGGAGCTTACGTTTATATATTTTTACAGAATAATTAAAACATTTAAGAGGTTGTGGAAGTTCTTTGAATAATCGAACAGTTTGACTAGGAACGACCTTTCCAAAAACGATAACTAACACGGCAACAAAATTTGCATATTTCTTGTAGATCTCCCAAAAATATACAAACTGACAACAGAAATTGGAACCTGCAGCTTAAACATAACAACACGAAATAGCTGGTGCCAACGCAAACTGGAAATGTAACGATTAACTCATGTAAACGAAATTTAAACAACATTTTTTTTATATAACGGGGCAACAAGTTATTTTATTAAAATGTATAATTTTAATTATAATTAACTTGCCCTTAGCCGGTTCTTCGGATTCACTTTCATGGGAAAATGTACCAATTTTTTTTTCAATTGAACATGTAGCCATTTTCGCGCTCTAGACAAAATGTGCCCCGCATATGGTCGCTCCAGTTTGTAGATTAGCATGACCGCTATATTGGAAGGTTGAGAGGTTAGACAGTCCATACAGATATGGTATCACAGTTTCGCGGATATGTGTCACTTAATTCCAACGAAGGATGATTCTTTTCTTAACAAATTGGAAGTCTTCTTTTAGCTTCATATGCGGGGTTCCAAGAGATTTTCAAAAAACTTCATAATGCAATGAAGTTTTCTCTTGGGTAAAATATTGCATAATATGATCGTGAGGGAGATTTTAATCCTGACTACCTTTAGAGTTGATGGCCTACATTAGAGCCCTCTGGGAAAAAATCAATATTAGCATTTCAAATTGAAATTAACTGTCAATATACTTGAAATATATGGACAATCACTTTACTTGTTTTGTGTTTGATTCATTGTTGTCTTCATATATAAAAGATTAAAATCAATGGTCATCATCCACACCAAATATGTCTGAAGAGCCGCTTAACAAACGGCGAAACGCGTTGATTTCACATCACTGCAAATTACAGATCATTAAACTCGTCTCGAAAGAGAAATAAACATATAAATCATAGCTGGCCCAGCGAGGGGGGCTATATCACAA